TTGATACATGTGCTGGGCGTTTTCTTTATTTTTGACATTCCGAAGCACCCCTGGGTGAAAGGGCTGGTTAGGAAATGTGAGCAGGAGCGCCCTCCTCTGAGGCAGTCGCGCGTGCTCACTGCCAAGGAGGTTTTGGCCCTCGAGACTTTGTTTATCGAAGGAGATTTGCAGCCGCTGGACCGATACGGTCTAGGATGCTTCTTGTTCATGATACTGTCATGCAGCAGGGTCTCGGATGTCAGTTTCCTGGACAGCATGGTTTTGGACATCCTTGAATCCCTCGAAGACCCTTCAAATCCCGGGTATTTGGAGGTCAAGACGATGCATCACAAGACGGAGCGAGTCAAGAGTAAGCAGGGTATTCCCTTGTATCTTGTGGCCCCTGTCCGAGGTCTGCATCATGTTGCATGGGGCCCAATCTTTTACAAGCTTTGTGAAGAGAACCACATGGGTTTCCTGCATGGCACCACCTCGTGTCTCCTCCCGGGTGTCACGGTGTCAGGGAAATGGTCCAACGAGCGCATCAGGACCAGTGATGCGGGCCTGTGGCTTAACAAGCTACTTGAGCTGGCAATCGGAGGCCCTCCTGAGCCAGGCCTCACTAGTCACGGCATGAAGGCTACTCTGCTGTCATGGTGCATGAAATCTGGCTGTGATGATCTCACCTTGAAGATTCTTGGACATCATTCCAGGCCAGGGCAGAAGACTACTGAGTGTTACGGGCGAGACGCCATGTCCGCTCCCTTGCGAACACTTGTTGGGGTCATCCAAGCAGTTGCTAGAGGGCAGTTCCATCCGGATGCCACGCGCTCTGGTCACATGGCTGTGCAGGGATTGGTTGCTGCTCAACCACAGGGGCCGACTGCCCCAAGTGATGCTGGCCCTCATCAGGGGTCGGCTGCATCCCGGGTGAGCTCAGCACCGGACGAGGCCACCCATCCCTCTCCCGAAGAGGACAGTGCGCCGGGCCCCACGGCTGGGCCCGATGGATCGGAAGACGATGTCTCCGATGATGAAAGTGTGCCAGCCGAAGATTTGCCGGCTATCGGGGCTCAAGACTCTCGAGCCAACAGCTTTGTGCCGCCCTTGGACTGGAACGAGAAGGGCGAAGTCTTTGAGAATCCCCGTACCCGTAAGCTTCATGTCAAGTGGAAGGGGTGTTCCAGCATGGCGTGCGGAAGTGTCAACAGTGCTCCGCAGCCAAACCCATAAGGTCAACAGCTGCGATGATTGATTTCCTGGAGAGCCGAAGAGGGCAAACCTCCGGATGACCAGTTTTGAACACTAGGCCGGGCACTGCTCAAGGCTCCGCCAGAACCGCTCGAGCTCCAAAAGGTTGAAACGCAGTGACTTGCAGCGTGACCGATGATCTTCCGGTCCGAGCGTGTCGCCGTGAGGGCAGACCGTGTCGCCATCGGGCAGACTGCGACTGTTGCGCGAGGGCATTCAATACTCTGCAGTGATCGCATGACGAAATGTTTATCGTGCATGCTGAACTTGCTCAAGACTTGATGCTTTCATCTTAGAGATTCCTGAGTGTCGCATGATGACCACGTCACATGGAGCTGACTCCTTGACTGAGTCCACTGCTGTCTTCCTTGAAAGGTGCCAGCGAGCTGGCCTCCCACAGGAGAACATTAACCGCTTGCAAGACCAGCAGCTTACCACTCTTGCGAAGCTAGCTTTTGCAGCAGGACAGCCGGGCGAGACTCCCACGGACACCAAGCTTCGCGAGTTGGTCAAGATTGGTGCAGCTGATGTGCCGGTGCACGTGGTNNCGGCGCTCCGCCAAGTTGTCTTCGAGTCTCAAACCCTCTTGATCTCACAGGTGAAATCCTTGGTGGAACGACGTGATGATGAATCTAAAATCGAGCTACCTCCGGCTGAGAGGACTTCGAAGATCAAGGAGCAGGCCAAAAGGTTGTTGGGGGTCCCTCTCGAGGGGCCGGCTGAGTGTGCGCACAATTCGTATGACATTGTCATGAAGGTCCTTGAGCAGAATACCCTCACTTACCTTGCGCCTAGCAAATTCCCCTCCAGGCACTCTGAGCTCCGACAGGACAAGCCCCCGAAGACTTTGACAATTACCGGGAGCTCTGTTACTGTCAAGGATGAGAGGCTCGACCTGGAGTGTGAGACTCAGGCACCTCTTGACCTTCATTGGGCTTTTACCCGAAGGTCTCTCGCCTGCGACTTGGTAGGGTTGGCAACATACGCCAAGCAGCAGGAGTGGCATTCCCACTTGATGCGACATCTGACTTCGGACGACCCGCCTCCAGGATACTCAAAGATCACAGTCAGGCAAATTCTTCAGGCTGACCAGGCGGCTTGGCTCCGGATGAGTGAGCTCACCCAGGATGGCATTCGTCGCAAGCCAGACGGCACCTTGCCTCTTGATGCTCTCTTCGCTCGCGTCATGAGTGATCCTCAGGTGATTTTTCATTTGCTCCATCAGCCGCACAACAGCAACAAGCGCTGGGCGGACGATGATGGGAAGGGCTACGGGGCTGATGCTTCCAAGCGACTTCGCAAAGGCAAAGGAGATAAAGGCGATGGCAAGGGCAAGAAGGGGAAGGTGCGATTTGTGCCTCGCAATCTTCCTGCCGAGCTTCAGGGAATGAACAGCACGACTCGATCCGGCCAGCCGATATGCTGGAATTACAACATGGAGTGCGGATGCACCGCTGCCCAGCCGGGCAAGAAGTGCCCCCGCGGCATTCACATGTGTATGAAGCCAGGTTGCGGGAAGAATCACTCCCTCCAGGAGCACCTGGCCAGTAACCCTGAGTGACCGCTTGAGCCACCGAGCCCGCTGCATCCTTTTCTTGACAGGGCAAGGGCCCGCTTTGCCGGGCGCTCGGTTACCGACTTGTTTTGCCTTGAAATCTTCGCTGGCTCGGCCAGGCTCACTGCTTCGCTTAGGCGGTTGGGTTTCACCGATTCGGTTGGGTTAGACGGCAAGCTGAAGCCTCACCTGCCTGCCCCCGTCTTGTGCATGGATCTTGCGGATGACAAAAGCCGCCCCATACTGACGTCACTACTTGAATCACCGAATTTGTGTTATATACACCTGCGCCCTCCGAGCACTCCAGGTCGCTCTCTTCAACATCCAGACGGGAATCCCTGTCTTCGAGAGTCAGACCCTGCATTGCATGAGCGCATTTTGCGCACCAATCGACTTTGGGAGCTGTCTGGGCACATCATGTCCCAGGCCTTTCATGCCGGCGTCCCCGTCAGTTGCGAGAGCCCGGTGCAGTCACATGTTTGGGCTTCCAAGGCATTTTCTTCTCAATCCATAGACTTACCATTCTTGCGCACCACATTTGATCATTGCGCTTATGGCGGTCCTCGCCCCAACACGTCTTTGTTGCTTCATTGCCTCCCAGTGCTTTCCAACTTGGACGGACGCTGTGACAATCTTCACCAGCATGCTGCCTGGTCTCGTGTGACCGGGCCACGCCTTCACGATGACCGAGCCTACCCTAACGACCTCTGCAAAAGTTGGGGTCAGCTAGTGCTGCAGCAGCTCATTGACTTAGGTGCCAGCGCCCCTCCTGCTGAACTTTCTCAACTACAACCTGATGATCTTGCCGCTGCCCGAGCTGCCACCAATGATCAGATTGGCCGTCGCAGGCCCCCCATGGTGCCCGAGTTCAAAACTTTTGTGCGGCTCACCGGGCCTTTGCATGCCCTGCCGCCCATGAATCTCAAAACCGAGTGGCCTATCCCCTCAAGCATTGCGTGCGAGCCTGCCATTTCCCACCTCCCACCCGGTTCTAAGGTTGTAGGTCCCTCCTTAAGTGCTCGGGGTGATGATAAGGAGGTCCCTAGTCTCGATAAGGCCCCGGGTGATGACAAGGATGTCCCTAGTCCCGATAAGGCCCCCCTTGACTGCCCAGCTGATTCCAGCTCGCTTTGTGAAGGTGCAGAGAAGCTGGCCAAGAGTCTAGCTTCGCAGCCAGGCCCCATCGCCTCACGTGACATGGAACGATTGTGCCGATCTCTCCCTCTCGAGTCCCCTCACCGAGGCAAGTGCGAGAGTGACGGTTCCTTCAGGGCTGGGATGTACATCAAGGGTGGGATTGTTGGTTTGCAGAAATCTTGTCGAACGCACCCGTGGAGTAACAAGGCGATCTCGAGGTTTGTTGCCGAGCAATCCGCCTCCATTGGCTTTTCTTCACGCTTCACTTCGGCCGTGGTCCTAGTGAACACAAGGACCGAACCCCACAGAGACATCGCCAATGCTGGCGAGGACAACATCATCATTCCTGTCAGCCGCTTTGACAAGGGCGGTGTGTGGATCGAGCACCCCGATGGCCCCGATGTTAGGCCCGTAGGAGATAAGTCACTCCCCGGGATGGTTCTTAACTTTGGCGGTAAGCCTATTACCATTGATGCCAAGAATCTCTACCATTCTACGGAGCCATGGGAAGGTGATCGAATAATCATTTCGGCGTACACTCTTAGGGACACAACCCCGCCGCGACCTCAGGACGCTGATGAACTTCGAGGCTTAGGGTTCCTAAGTGACCCCGACCATGTGCCCCAAACTCATCCCTCATGTTCAGCCAGCAGAGTCATCACTGTAGGAATCCCGTGGACCCCCGAAGAGTTTGTCACCAAGGCATGCGGCGCTAATCACCCGGGTAACATCGTTGCGGGAATCCCCTCTCTGCTCCAGGAAGTCATCCAGAAGAACGCTTCGGAAAGCCCCGCTTCTCTTGGCCAGTTCAGGACTGCTTCCTTGCGCAAGTGGGCTGCACGTGCCCGCGACCTTAATCAAGACGAGCTTGATTACAGGTGCAGCATGCCGTCTCATTGCCAGCGGGTTTTAAGCTCTAAGAGGTTGTGTCTGTTCAAAGAAATTCTTGACACTTGCGGACATGGCGATGTCACTCTGGTTGACGAGGTCTCCCAGGGCTTCAGGTTGAGCGGGGCCATACCGGACTCGCACGTCTTCCGTGCTAAGAGGACCACAGCCTCGATGTCCACCGATGAGCTTAAGTCCACCTCTAGCAAGATGAGGGAGTACATCCTAGGCACTTGTAAGAGCAGCGGCGACCCTGAACTCGACATTGCTACTTACAATGCCACGAAGGACGAGCTCGAACGAGGTTGGCTGTGGGGACCGGTTTCCGCGTCCTCACTGCCCGAGGACGCCATACTCACTAGGAGATTTGGGATATGGCAGTCGTCCGGTGACCAGCAGAAATGCAGACCGATAGATAATTATCGCGAGAGTCTTGTCAACTTGACCACATCCGCGAACGAGACCATCAGCATACACAGTGCAGACACCGTCGCTGCAGGCATTGCTTTTGACATGAGGGCAAGCCGCGATGTGGGCAAGCCCCGCAGCCTACTGATGAAGGCGTGGGACCTTCGCAAAGCATACAAAAATCTGCCGCTCCATGAATCGTCTCTTCATGAGAGCTACTTGTGTGTTTACGACCCGGACACTCAGACGACGCAAATCTTCGGACAATTTGTTTTGCCCTTCGGGGCGCGATCCAGCGTCCATGGATTTTGCAGAGTTTCAGCAGCTTTATGGCTGGCTGGAGTCAGCATGCTGCGGCTGCACTGGTACTCGTACTTCGACGACTTCCCAACCATTGAGCCCGAGCAAACGTGCCCCATAGCGCAAATGGGTGTTGACTTCTTGTTCACGCTTCTAGGATGGGAGACATCCTCAGAGAAAAACTCCCCTTTTTCCAGCGTCTGTAAGATCCTAGGCCTTGAGTACAATCTTGAAGAGACCAAGCTTGGGACCCTAGTCATCAAGAACACGGCTAAAAGGGTTGAGGACATCTCGTCCGAGATAGACAAGTGTCTTGAAAACAACTTCCTCTCTGCGAAGGATGGCGAGCGGCTCAGGGGCCGCCTCAACTTCATGGATGGCCAGTTGTTTGGCAAGCTCTCCCAGCATGCCTTCAGGGGATTGACCAGACACGTCCTCGCAGGAGGCGGGAAGCTGAGCTCTGTGACTAGAACACACCTGCAGTTCCTTAGAGACAGAATGTCTCGAGGGAGGCCCCGGCGAGTTTCCATAGCCTTGCATGAGACGGTGCACATTTTCGTTGACGCCTGTCATGAGCCGGGCGCTTCTGAACCAGCAGGGCTCGGAGGCATCTTGCTTGACAGCTCTGGGCAGTACCGAGAGTACTACTCCGAGATGCTTGATGAATCAGCCCTTGCAGCCATCAATGCAAGGAAGAGTGGGAATCCAATCTTCG